AAGTATGCTGTTTTTATCTTCCGGTTAAGGTTTTTATGCTTTTAGTAAATCTGTATGCAATATTTAATACATATATATACATATGCAATATTTAATACATAATATACCTACAATTTTAAAGTTGTTTAAGTGCCGCTAAGCCTTTTTTTTATGGCGGCCATTGATTGTTTACATTTGAAAAAGCAGACTAGTGGATTTGTTGCCAATGTAAAGAAACTTAGCTTCGCAACAACAAAGATAACGCCTTCATTTATTATTGCCAATTAAATCATGCTTAATCCTTTCTGGAATTTTTTCGAGGAAATAAGTGTTTAAGATTTACTTCGTAAATTTTAATATAGATATTTTGAGTTTTTATGTATTTTTGCCTTCTCGCGAGGTGAGAACTGAATTAATTGAATGACAAATACTCAATCGTCTGTGAAAAACTGTTTCTATTTTGTTTTGTTTGCTTAATTTCTTTTATACATCGTCCTAGCTTTATTATAATATTTGAATAGAGCATGTGGCAAAGATTAGATAATTCTATTCTTTAAATGATATAAATTTTGTGCATTATGAGTTATAATATGAACGAAATATAATACTGTTAAGTGAATCTAGCGCCAGAGTGCTATGGTAAACAAATACTAGAGTCAATTTTAAAGAATGTATTTATTCTATTGTGGTTTAGGCGCTGTCGGCGAAGTAGATTTAATTCAATCCAATAAGTTTAAATGATATGCAAGGAAAAGTGCGTATAATTTTAATTTTCCGTACAAGGAAGTCATGTGGTGTACACATCAGATTTTTAATTTACATTTAAAGTTAAAATTATCTAACCTGTGTCTGACCTACCTTGTCAACTTATCCAACCTCATTAAAAATAATGATTTAGGACATAAAGAGATTGCAATATATAGTCTCAATACATTCCAAATCGTATAGAGACTAGTCTCAATACATTCCAAATCGTATTGAGACTATATTGTAATTTCTTTATATCCTAAGTCATGATTTTTAATAAGTATTGGATGCGGGGCGTACGGTGAGATTACACAATGTACCATAATAGGTAAATTCTAGATTATTTCGAAAGCTTCAGTTGCCCATTTCCTCATTTCCTCAACATTTCTTTATAAATTCTTATAAAGTTCGCACTTTTTTCTTTTTTAGCTCAAAGCACGTTAGCCCAGAAGGGTTATTAATTTCGTTTTGGCATTTTGCGTCGAAAACTTTAAATGTCTGAATCCCTTTTCAAATTTTTGCCACCAAATATTATCGCCCTGTACAAATAGGGCGCAGCCCCATCCACCTAATCGACAAGATTTTATGACAAACAAAGGCTGTGCCAGCAAAAAAAAAAAAAAAAAAAAAAAAAAAAAAAAAAAAAAAAAAAAAAAACAAAAAAATATATAAAAATACATAATAAATGAAATACATATTACATGAAATACATATAAAATACATAATTATAAAAACGCATAAAATAACCACATAACACACTGAATAAATTATGTTAAAATTCCATATAACCCAAAATCTCAATTTAAATTATTGTAACACAAAATTAAAAACAAACGGTTATCAAATAAAAATACCAACATCAGAAGCGATTATTATTTAGAAAAACAAATAAGTTCCCTTGCAAATTTAAATTCTTTTTCAGCACCTGTAAAAATCTTAAAAAAATATTTTTTTCGTATGTCATAAGTAAGTGTACATTCTTCCAATAGTGCCTTACCGATCCGACAACTCCACAATTATGACAATATTCATTCTCTTGTATGCCAAATCTTTTAAGATACACCGGGAAGCGCCCATTCCAGTTAACAATTTGATTAAAATCCAAATGACAAGAAATACTTTTATTAAACATAGGTTTTAAATAATAGGTATATTCTTTTCTTTTATTCGAATTATTCCAATTATCATACCACAAATCAATATATACTTTTTGATTCTAGTAATAACCATTTTTCTTGAAGGCTGGACAATGGAACACTCCCCGGAAACATCCAAAGTCGCCTCTTTGGCCAACACGTCGGCCCTCTCGTTACCCTTCGATACCCACATGGGACTTAACCCATCTAAATTTAATATCATGTAAACCTTCAATTTCTTTATATAAACACTTAATATCCATAACTAAAGAGTTATTACAAATCGTAGCTTTTCAAAGCCTGTAATCCAGATAAACAATCACTATAAACTACAATACTATAACTCTTAGATAAGGTTTTTCCTTAATCCATTTCATAGCAAAATAAATAGCAGCAAGTTCAGCCTGAAACACAGAATTAAATTTTTCTAAACTTTATTTTGAATAATCAATTTCTATACCATAATAGTAAACAACAAAAGATAGGCCAACACTTTCCCCAAACCTAGAACCATCAGTGAAAATATCAAGTTCACCAAAACAATCAAAGTTCATTTCATAATTAATGCCCTTTCACTCTCTTGGCTGGGTGTATGCAGTAAGGATTAACATTATAAAATGCAGTACAACAAGCTAAATAATCACCATAATACATAAAATCTCTCTTACATGTAGATAACAAAAATTTATCATAAAAGAACTTATAAAAAATCGAGAGGGGCGGCGTGCCGGCCAATACACAGGCAGTTTCAGTTGGAGTTGTCCTAAAACACCTAGCCAGTGACAGCAGCCAGGGCCGCTGAATCGTCAATAACTTATTCCTGATTCTCAACAACTCCGCCGCTCTGGAGCCCCAACAACCAATACCGTATAACACAAGATAGGAACAACAACTACTCTATAAATAAGTTCTAATAATATCTCTCTTAAAGTCAATGACACCCGCTGGAAAATTTCTCTTATAAAATAAGAGTATTGAATCTGTTCTCCTTTGAATTTCCTTGAAAGTGTGACTCGAAATTCAGTTTATCATCTATTAATGACTCCCAAGTATTTAAAGTTGTTCGACTCTTTTTAATAATGTTCCCTGGAATCGTAATTGGGAGGTCTAGTCTTCCCCCCCCTATTTGGGAAAAACAAAAAAGATGTCTTTTGTAAGTTGAAGATGAGTCTTTCTGTTATAGCCCATCTCTCAAGGACATCACACACCAATGTAAATCTTTTTTCTATTATCGCCCTGTATTATATTAAAAGAAATTAAATAATGAAGAATTTGCATAAGGGTCTGTATGTTTCTCGCATTGTGATAAAACAACGGTAGCTAATTTTGAATAACGTACGTCTCCATCCCAAAATGGGCATCTAGAAGCCCAAATTTGGAATTCGTTTTATTATCTATTTTATATTTTGTAAAGCATTTCAGAGTTTTTGATTAAGAAACTCAAGGATTTCAAAGCGAGCCATGGCAACAGTGTACGGAAAAAAAGATATTTTTATCTCCAGAGCGCGAGACTGTGTATCGGAAATTCTAAAGATACGTATGCTCTTTTTAAATTATTTTGTATAATTGTTGTTTGGTTGAATTTTATGGAAGAACATGAAATTTAATAAATAAAGGTAACATACAAAACGTTAAAAAAGAGCCCCTTTGGGCGTAGTATAAAATCTGAAAGCTTCCAATTCCCCCCCCCTTTTTTTTAGAGTGGGATGTTAACTACTAGTTAACCCATGGTACATTCGCTGGTTGTCCCCAATACTTTGACCTGCACCTGTTTGACTAACATTTATCTCAAATAGAACATTAGCAAATTACTAAAATATTAACATTTAGTTAATTAGCTCGACTAAGAATGTAATATTCACAAACAAATTTTATAAAAGATTTGCAGTTTGAAAATTCAAATCTGCGTTTGTGGTTGGCTAGCTGATTCGCTGCTGTGCAGCTTTTAAAAATTTTGTGATTTTGTAGTTGAGTTGTGTATGGCATAAGTGCGAGGAAAACGATGCTTAATAATAAGGATAAACAGAACTCGTCTCCCGGGGCTTAATTTCTAAAATTAGAAGTCCCGGAGCCCTATGGAAGACCGTCAGCAAAGGGGAACAAAAGTAAATAAATAAATAAAATGACTATTTAAATCATTGATAATTTAAAAATTAAATAGTTAACTATTAAATTAACTATTTAATTTAAAAATTAAATAGTTAATAATTAATTAAGTAAGCAGTTATTAATTATCTAACCAAAGTAATTTCATCAAAGTAATTATTAATTATTTAATCAATATAATAATAATATTTATCGATCATTATTTAATTAAATAAAAAACTAATTAATTATTATTTATTTAAATAATTAAATAATTAAAATTAAAATAAAATGTAAAAAAGATAAGCTAAAATTTAATAAGTGATTTTTAATATAATTTTATTGCAAAAAATAAAATTTTCGAGACCAAATTTCTACTGAAATTGTTGTTCAGTTACATAAAAGAAGTATACTTTGTATACTTCTAATACTAAGTATACTAAATAAGAAGCCTTCTTATTTAGGGCTCCGGTGCGCTCCGCCTACAATTATGATTTACCCCAAAAATTAAGAAATTGCGCTGGCTCCGGGGCAATTTAAGCTCTGCCGTCTCATCCCAAAAAATTGCGTTATCAGGAGTGAGTGTAAGGACTGGTAAACTGCGAGCTCAGCGACAGTGTTAAAAAACTTTAATAAACCCTTTTAGACGACATGAAACAAACCCTTTCGAGCGAAATCTGAAACCTTTCAGACTTTTGTTATCGTTGTTTTATGTTATGTTTTTGTATTATACATTTTGTTTACTTACCTGTGTAAGCCTTTTGAACTCAGTTAAATGAACTCTCGTTTTTAAATGCCTACTATTAGCTCACACTCTCCTTATATCTTGTTCAAATTTTCAGTCGTTAATAAAATACTTTATATTCATCCACTCAAGTTCAAATACATTTTTACACTTGTAGTAGATGACATTTGATGTTAATACAGTTCTTCCCATATTTAAAAAAAAAAAAAATTAAAGTTAATTCCTACTTTTCAACAAAGAAAACGTCAACAAAGAAAAATTTTATTTTAGTTACTTTGTACTAACTTTATTAAAATTTTTTTGTTTCTGATTTATGAAGCTGATGATAGTCTATAATTTCTCATTCTATCCATCTCTTGTAATGCTACATTGTTGCAAGGAACCTTTCCAATGAGTTTCGAGCAGTCTAGTTCTTCAATCATATTTCATCTAGAACGAAAAAATGTCAATAATGAAACGAAATAATGTTAATAAAAAGTAACTAAAATAAAAATTTTCTTTGTTAACCTAAGTAGGAATTGACTTTAATTTTTTTATATATATTACTTGTTTATTTTAAACTATTCATTTAAAAGCAAAGCAGATTATTAACTAGTACGAAATAAATTCGTATCTTTTGTTCTAAACTATTTATTTCAAAGTAATACATATTAAAAACTGGAATAAAATAAATTCTCATCTTGGGATACACTTTATGCACGTTTTTTTAAGAAAATCAGATAATTGATCGCAACTAATTTTGGAAAAATCTCTTATTACCAATTTCTGAAAATTTTACGTTTTTTTCCCTATCTCTACCGTTTTGATAAAGAATAAATCAGATATATGAGTATATATTCTTCAACATCTTTATTAATAAAGTGATCTTTATTAATAAAGTGCTTATGGAAATGATTAAATGCTCCCATTTGCATAATTACCTTTCGGCTGAGATATGGAGAACTTGAATGGCTTCTTGAATTTTTGTCTTAATTATTTACGTATATCATCATTGAAAAATAATTCGCTAATCATGATATTCTTCCAATTCTTTGCTTTAAAATTTTATATTAATTTCTGATTTTCATTCCTAAAATTTTATGTAAGAATTTCCTCTTCTCCATAGCTTCAGTTTATTCTAGTTTTAATAACAGAGTCCTTTTAACTGGAAAATAAACATACCAATAGAAAATTTTAAGCTGAGAAGAAGGGAACCTTGGATTGGCGTAGATTTTGTATACGACTCTGTGAATTTCTAATGAGATTTGACACATTTGCTCCTGAAGAAAAGGGTCCTATATAATTAGATCGCATTCAAAAATTATACTTTTATTCAAAATCTATACCAATCCAAAGTTGCTTTGCCTAATTTTAAACAATTCTCCTACTTTTTTTAAACGTGATTTTCTGATGCAAATTTGTTCAGCATTTCTTGAATGAGAATGTTATCTACTCTGTAATTTATACCTCCGACCCCAATTTTTTTTTTCTATGGTTTTGATAAGTCATCTAGAACATGGTTTCAACTTCGTAAGAAAATTTTCACTGGTAAGAGGTTTTTGAAAGTAACCTTAATCAGTAGTATACCCTTACGTTGTCAGACAAGCTCTTTCTTCCTCATGTTCAGGCTTCTAGAAAACCCGTCTCTGTCACGTAAGCCTGAAAAGAATTTTGCCCTTTCCCAATTCTAGTTGTAAATCTTTGAGCACATTCTAAACAGAATCAGTAGATTGGGAACTCTCCCTAGCGGCATTTAAAGGATTAGCTAATAGAATTCTGGTCCTCTCTGTCTCCCCTTCCCAAAGAAATATGTGCAACTTTAGATAAAGACAAAATTTGTAAAAGAAAAGACATCTGATCCACACGCACTTAAAGAAAGTTCTTTGAAATTTGTTTAGTCATTTATTATTATATTTATCTAAATAAAATTGGTTGGTGTATTATGGCAAAACACTCTAGGTCGATCTGCCTAACGGTAGAGACACCTTCGTGAAGGACATTCTAAGAGAAACTGGCTCGTATCCACTGTGATGCTTCTTTGGCGATATGAAGCAACTCCAATGATGGAACACAGCAATAACTTTTATTTAACACACAAAAATGGCGACATACAAAACAAAAACAGAAAACATATTCTAACATTTAAAAATAATTTACATTCTTCGTGCGAGAGTCGCACGTGGCACTCGAGTCTGGTTTCAAATATTGCCATTCACAAATACCTTAATGTTCATCTATTTAAATTATTTAAACTACAAGATTTAAATTATTTTAAAGCTGTTACAACCTCTTCCCCAACGGAGAGACTTTTCCCGAAGGGAAAAGTTCTGTAAATTCGATAGTTTAATAAGCTCGGCTTGCTGATTTGCTTAAAGAGAAAAGGTAACTTCTCTGATAAATTTCCAAACTTCAGGTCAAAATTTTTAAGTTTTAAACAAATATTTTTACACCACATTTAAATAGGAAGAAAATGGACAGTGTTCAAATTAGTCTTCCTTTTTTTTTTTTTTTTTTTTTTTTTTTTTGACGGTGCCTAGATCTTTTCCATGTTGGATCAGTTCTTCTGCTATAATTCACAACAAAGCCTTTCCTCAATTCATTTGTGCCTTTCGGATAATATTCAATTTTCTTTTGTTTTTGACAACTGTTTTCTTCGTATATTACTAGCGGCTTTGATATTAAATCGAAAGCCGAAAGATGATGATAACGTTGCATTGCAAAATGATTCTCAATATTAATTTCTTTATCGTTTTTCAAATTTTCGTGAAAATCTTCCACATTAATTCTGGTGGTTTAACTTCTTCTTCAAAGATATCTTTGGATGCTTTATTTTCTTCCTTCATCGGTTCCAAGATCTTCTCTTCAGCTATTTTTCTTTTCCTTTGAGCTCTACTAGAGACGGCATTAAAATGGTATCACTAAGTTTACGTTCAAGTGATAAAACTAATAAAAATAAGGCAGCAGTTCAGTGTTAACAGGAAGTAATAACCTGATATCACTAATATTATGTTCAGTGATGAACTAATAAAATAAGGCAATTTAATATCAACAGGAAGTAATGATCTGGCTTCACTAATATTACGTTCAGTGATGAACTAATAAAATAAGACAATTCAATATCAGCAGGAAGTTACGTTCAGTGATGAACTAAAAAAATAAGGCAATTTAATATCAACAGGAAGTAATGATCTGGTTTCACTAATATTACGTTCAGTGATGAACTAATAAAATAAGACAATTCAATATCAACAGGAAGTAATAACCTGGTATCACTAATATTACGTTCAGTGATGAGGTGCTACTTTGGTAGACGGTTGCACGGATTTTTGGCGATTTACGTTGGCTCAATTGTTGGCGCGATTTCTACAAACGTCAGCCATCTTGAAAAACGCTGTTTTTACGCATAGTAAAGTATTCGAAACTTAAAAAAAAAAAAAAAAAATAAATAAATATCGTTAGAAATAATGGATTAATTTTTTTGTTGAAAATGTCGTTTTTTTAAGATGGCAGGCAGGCAAGTGTAAATAAATACATTTACTATGAGTATAAAATACTAAAGTAAGGTTATTTTATTACTTTCATATAGCAAAGAAGAGAATATAAAAACACCGCTATAAAAACATTGTGCCAACGTTTAATTAAATTAAAATATTACTGAAATTGAATATCGAAATAAAAAACATCATCCAACATTTAAAAGAATTAGAATATTATTAAATTTAAATACTTTAAAATACGTTATATAGAATATAATATATATATATATATATATATTATATAGAATAAATACATTTACTACGAGTATAAAAATACTAAAGAAAGGTTAAATTATTACTTTCATATAGCATAGAAATAGAATAAAAATACCACTATAAAAGCAATGCTCCAACGTTTAATGGATTAAAATATTACGCAAATGAATATCGAATTAAAAACCATCATACCAACGTTTAAAAGAATTTAATTAAAAATATTACTTAAAATTAAATACTTTAAAATAAGTAAATAAGAACGCTTCGTACACTAGAGCTAAAATGACAGCAATTAGTTTATTGTTGGTAAAAAAGGAGGAATGTCTAATAATTTTCTTACCGTTACAGTGGTTATTTCTTCCAACATGACCACAATATCATATACGACCGTCTCAGAATCGGCTCTTCTAACGTTCTTCATCTGTGATCTACATTTTCGCACTTCATTGAAGAAACAATTAGCGACGTTTCCTTCAAAAATTTAAAATAAATTTCCTCTGACCCTTGTAAGAATTTATAAATAAATCTTTAATTAGGAAAGCCAGGCTGGCGAAAATAAAGTCTCAAAGGACAATTTTTTGATTCCGAAACCAAAAATTCTTGGTACTTATCAAAAACAACATTCATCTTTGAAGGAGACATTTTGAAGGAATTCGAAGATATGAATTAAATTTTAAAATGGCGCGGGTAATGCACAAATTTTCAGCAACCTATCAGGGAGCTGATTACAGCTCATTAATTCACAAATATTCTAAAACCAATCAGAGAGCTGATTACATCACGCCTAGAATTAAAATTATTTAAATAATCATACATAATAAAATCATTTTAAAAAAAGAAATGCAAAATTAAATTGTATTTTAATATTTAACAGCCATAATAATGTTTAAAACCATTAGATTAAATTTATAGATATTAAAACCAATTACTTTTAAAGTAAGGTGACGTCACTGATTACATCATCCACAGCACAAAATTTCATAAAATATGATAAAGAATAAAATTTTTATTTCAAATAAAAATGCAAATTAAATTGATTTTTAATATTTAGAAGCCATAAATAATATTTAAAACACGGAATTTATGCATAATAACACGCATTATTTTAATAAAAAATGTCAACAAAGTATCGGTTAACATAAATAACTTATCCAGCAATGGGTTTACCATAAGTCGTATTACTCGCCAAAAGAAAAATTGCCAAAAACTCGCCAAAATCCGTGCAACCGTCTACCAAAGTAGCACCAGTGATGAATAAAATAAAATAAAAATACGCACGATTATTCGATCTCGGCCGGTGCCTCCAAAATAATTATGACTGTAATGCTTCTTTGGCGATATGAAGCAACTCCAATGATGGAACACAGCAATAACTTTTATTTAACACACAAAAATGGCGACATACAAAACAAAAACAGAAAACATATTCTAACATTTAAAAATAATTTACATTCTTCGTGCGAGAGTCGCACGTGGCACTCGAGTCTGGTTTCAAATATTGCCATTCACAAATACCTTAATGTTCATCTATTTAAATTATTTAAACTACAAGATTTTAATATTATTTAAAGCTGTTACACCACATTACACTTGAGGAATATCCAAATGAGGAAAAAATACTTTGAGTTCTTGATGAATTTACTAGTGTTCAAAGAAAAGCTGGTTTTGTTTTGGATTAAAAAAAAAAAAAAGTTCCCT